GGAAAATTGTAACTTTATTTCCTACATTTTCTTTATTTTTATATAAAGCGCATTTGATCATGTATATGGAATTTGCGCTATATAAATTTCAATTATTATTATTATCATTATTATTATTACTTCATGAAAGCTAAATCAATTTGGTTGGTAGAAGTGAAAATCAATTATAAAGTAATCTGACTTGGGATCTCCTTGGAGAGCCACACTTACCCAGCATGCGTTGTAGACATTCCCAGTATTGTCTGTACCGTACAGAAAATTAAAAGTCGTGTGTGTGTACTAAATCTTTGCAAGTTTTGCAAATCTTTGTCGCCTGCGTCTACCGCCTTGATCTTTACGATCTTGATAGAAAACCGGTTTTTTATAACCTTATCTAGTTTCTTCAAGAGTCTAACGTCTATTTTCTATCCATGAGGCCACACTCGTAATACTTGCTGACATATAAACCGGTTTGGTTTCGCGAAAATGAAGCCATCGAAAAGAGGTCGTCCTGCATGATGGAGAGAAACTAAACTGTATGACTTACCAGATCAATTTTAAAAGCATGGAATGAAAGAAAGACAGCTTTGGGATTTGGCAGAAACGAGCAGCGAGTTCGTCGAACCCCCTGCTACACAGCATTTCGGAGGAAGCCGAAAAAAAACAAAAGAAAAAAAACAGAGAGCTCCTCTCAGCACTTGGGTGACCGCTAACTCCTGATTTTCAAATCCGATATCCGCATCGCAGTCGACCGATTTTGTTGTAATCACTCGTATGACTACAGACTAAACTGGACTCCACTCGGTCCTACTACCATCATTAATCGTGTTTACTCCATTAGCGGATAATTTTGATAATTTTGCTTTAATCAATATCAACTATTGTGTATATCAAAGTACTACCGTAAACGAGGCTGTGCTAATTACTAAGCAGCTTACTTTCTTGGATCTCCGCCTTTAATTTCGCACTTGATCTGCGGAGGTACACTTTTCCAGTTCTTTGCTAGGCTCACCATCTTTTCAACATCCATGAGGCCAAACCCGTAATACTTGCTGACATATGAACCGGCTTGGTTTCGCACCCATTCACCTTGCAAGAGTGGCGCTTGTCTTGCACTTTTAACAATGATATGTTGCACATCACGCCATGTTAATTGAGGACTGCGGGAGAAAATTTAAAGAAAATCGAGCGAGGTTTTGTGAAACATATCATGCAGCATGCACTGTAAAGGTGATTCCTGCTTGACTGTTGCCGTTATGGGCAAAAATGTACTACATCTTTCCTAAGCTAGATCTGTTTGCCCACATCTAGCTAGCGTCGATAACCTACTCGTAACTGTACTCTATTCCACCCTGCCATTGCTTTCAAAATCAATAAGGTTTCACCATTATTAGGTCAGCTCAAAGATTTAACTACCTTATGAAATTCAAAAAGTGACGGAGAAGTGATTGGTATTTTCATGATATATTTAACAAATGGTGAACACCACAGCGTACACTATTGAGTTATGGATGCACTTGGGAGGTTTGCTAAGCACTCAAGAAGCTAGAGTCGNTGTGGTGTTTACCATTTGTTTTATAACATAACATTGATACATTGTAGCTGAAGAGTTCCCTTTTATTTAACAAATCTTACGTGACCAGAAAAAACAAGCGCGCGCGGAAAAATAGTCTTTGCATTTGTTCACGTCAGCAGCGTACACCCATGGGCAAATGGGGGACGCTAAATTGACCAATCAGAGCGCGCGCTTTACTTTGGTCATGTTATAATTCACTTTACTGAGAGCTCCTTTTCGACTCTTTTTGACCGATGGCAAACGGTGAAAACGACTTTCGACTGTTAAGCTTACTTGAGGATATCTTAAGTCTTATATTGTTTTTCTTGTTTACTTTGAGGGATGTGCACGTGTGGAGTTCAGAAATAAAGTTTTAGAAAAACCCCTCTTCTTTGAAGGATACGAGACTGGACTAAGTTGCCTCTGGTAATATATTCAATACGTATCTTTTCAACCAACTCTTTTCAACCAACCGTTCCACTAACACTTGTTCAATCTAATTCTGACACTGAGTGTATCAGACCTACTTTGATTGCAGGGTTAATGCAATCAGGCCTGTAGCCTGAGCTGTTGCCGCTGACGATGCTCCAAAATTGTCCACACATCCTTTCTGGTTATCGACGGTTATCTAAATATAAGCAGGGAAAAAATGGCAATAACATAAATAATGAAAACAACTCGGCAACAGAAACCGACAATTGTACATGTGGACACCTTCAGACGGTTGTATATTTGTGTGGCCCAGCTGACGGGAGTTTCCGACCGTCGCATGATAGCAAATCGAATATTCAAGGTTTGCACTCATGAGGGGGCTTCCAGATACAATTAATTCGAGAGGATAAGTCCGCGAGACCCCTTGCTTCGAGGTTAAACAGGAGTGAATTCGTTGGTCGACCACATAGAGAAAATTTGGTTTTTATCATCTAAGTTGATAATGTGAAAAGAGAGTGAGTTTCTAAAGAAACTGTGCTACTGCGTCGGTGGAGGTGAGAACCCAAGGGTTACATGTGAGTATAATGATGACTTCCACTCAGGTTGTCGAAAGGACAGACTTACTACAACCGACAACAGTCCTTTGCAGGGCTACACTCACCTGAACGATCAGACTGTTGAAGTCCTAAAAGTAATAACTTTCCTAAATGTAATAAAATCCTAAATGTAACAACATTTGGTCCTAAATGTAATAAAGTCCTAAATATAGTAACGTTTGGTCCTAAATGTAAAAACATTTGGTCCTAAATGTAAGAAGCCTCTAATGCAATAGTTTAACTGCGCATGTGCATCCACATTGAGATGTTAAAAGTGACAGCGGCTGCATCAAGGAATCCTCTTACCAAAATTCACGGCGTATTGCGGGCCCGCACGCTAATTTTAATTAATCAGTGTTTTTTTTTTTTAAATTGCTAGAGACGTAGGCGAGAAGCATCGGAAGCAAACTTTCATACTGATGTGCTTTTGGCATCAAATTGACAGATGTCAAAAGAATAGAACCCTGACCAATCTGGCCATCTTCACCGAACAGGTTTGGTCAAGAGGTTTTATATTCTTTTGGCCTAGTCAATGAAGGATTTACTATAAAGCAAAAAGATTTCGCTTTAATAAGAATCAATAATGACTTGTTTATTTCGAGAGTCGAGAAAGAGAGCCAGCTGTGTTTGTAGCAGTGCTACGAGGATCGAATTATTTTCACTAAATCTGTCAGGCAATCTCAGACTTTTCTAGAATTATCTATAACCTGTAATATTCCAGAAACTTCTTTCATGTGACTCAGCAGTTTCCAAAAATAGTACAACTTGTAATACGCTATAAATAGTAATAGAACATTGTAGATACCTAAAGTAAATGTATACTAGAGGTAATCATAGATTATGAATGCGTTCGTGTAAAGGTGTTCAGGCAAGGTTGAGATTGTAGTTTATTGGAAAGGTGTAAAGGTATATGTAAAGGATATGTAGCTGATGCAGGATAAATAATTGTACCATCAGGTTTATTAAAATCAGACTCAGTAATATGAATGACACAGTTGTGTGAGTTTGCTACTGCCTGAATAATTACATTGTCACACCATGTGCCTACATTTGACATTTGTGTTACATGCTTTTCTCAAGTGTAATCAACAATACTTTCAACATACAACTCTGGGTGATTATTTAAATGGGCTATTCCTGACAAACGAATTTGAAAGTGAAATCAGCAGTTCCATAAAGCTGATGGGAAACAGATCTGAAAAAACAATCACAACTACCACCAACATCATATGGCATTAAACTGATGTGTTTAAGTTTATCAGATAGATGATCCCGGGCCAAGGTGCCTCTAACATTCTCAACAGGAAAAACACCTCCTTTTAAAGTAGACATAATTGTCGAATTGACATGTAGCTGTGATTTTAATGCTGACAGTGACACATACTCTTCTCGGTGTTTGTCAGAGTTGTACGAAGAGACATGTACACGACATATTTTCAAATTCTTAAAGAAAGAAACATATTTACTGAAGAAGGTTTCACGTTCATGCCACATGCACAAATACTTGTAATTGCAACACAGACATCTAATGAATGAGTTGTGTGGAACTTTATTTTTCAGAATAATTCGATTTTTTTGTCTGACTAATTTTCTCTTCAAAACTTTAAGTACCCTGCAAACAGGAATCCGGGAAGGTTCTCTATCCCTTGTTCTTCTCTGATTTTCTCTTGTAACAGACCGGATTCCATTTGCGACTAGAAATCATAGCCAATTTTCGAACTAAACCACTCGGTGAGTTAAATTTCTGACCACAAATCATGGCCAGTTTTGGAACAACACCAGTCGGTGAGTTGAATTTCTGACGACAAATCATGGCCCCCTTCCGAGTTACAAAGCTCGGCAAATTAGATTTCTGACCGCAAATTATGGCCAATTTTCGAACTACACCACTCGGTGAGTAAAATTTCTGAAAACAATCCTAGCCGCTTTCCTAGCCACGCGATTCTGACCACAAAGCTCGGGCAGAGGAGCGAAATAACACAGCTGAAGTGGAGCTTCGTCAATGTAGTTGTTTGTTGCTGATCACAAGCGATTTCGTCTCACAGGGCCAAACTCTACTTTCGCACCACAAGTCATACATACCTCCTTAAGGTATCGATAAATGTGATAGCTGTTACTCTCATGATATCCAGTTAGAAAGACTTGAAAAGAAAATTGACGACTAACAGCTTCCAGATTACAATGTAAACGTACAACTGAAGACCCGCGCTCCGAAGAAATGTACAGCATATGCGAGATCATGTCATTCGTTTCGCTCCTGCTGCGGGGTGGCCAAATCGGTGTGCAACCTCGATGCAACCTACCATGACGTCACTCCCATAAAACTCAAATCAAGACCGGATTATGACTGCGTTCTACGAACGCAAAAAGCTGGCTTGTGAGAAGTGCAAGAAAAGATTTTCGCGAGGGCTTACCCTCGTGGCTGGCTGACTGAACTTGTGGAATATATGATGTCACGAGGCTATGACCTTTTGACCTTGCGATGTCAGGAGAGAGGTAAGAGAAGAAGAAAACGATAGCCGAGAAAGGAAGAAGATAAAGAATACAGAGTTCACTATGGAGTCCTCCGGAAGAGTTTGTGTGGACGGAAAGAATGTGATGAATCAAGAAAGCAAAGTGTTGTGGTCTTCAGTCGGCGGAAGTTGGAATTGGAAGTTGATCAAGACGACGAACACTTACACGGCATGAAGGATTGTAAGCCTGCTTTACGAACTGCTTATCCTAATCTTTAACCTACAAAGATTAAACAGTGTAGAAGTAATTAAATAATAGTTAAAATGGGTAAGTGCTTGTTGTCAAGTTTTTGTTGCGTGCCTTACATCGTACTCGGGAGTCTATTTTTATATATGCTTTGTTAGCGGACATCTGTTGGTCACTCGTGCACGTAACAGCAGAATAAACCCAAGAGGATCGTTTAAGTTTTTCTTTGCTTCGACTCAGTCTTCGTCGCAGACATTGTCCAAAAGTTACAAACAACCACAGAAGCGAGTAAGAGATTATCTAATGTTTGATGGTTAAGGAGATCAGCGCGTCCAGCAAACCATGTTTCAGTTTTTTTCCTCGGAATCAATGAGAAGACCATTAAAAAACGGCTTATAAGATCAGTTTTTACTCACATCTACGAGAAAACAAAAACAAATTTTTTGCGTGAGTTTTTGGAGACCGGGATATGGTTTACAGCCTTTAACATAAATAATCATTTTTAATGTGCTGGTCAACTGCGTCTTTCATTTACAGCTGTTAATTGTAAGTCACTGAGTACATGATTTGAAGCAGACCCATACAAAACGTTTTACGTTTGTCGGATTTGTTGCATGCATTTCACTGAGATCAAGAGAACCTAATTGTCCCCAATTATGTTTTCTTGGGGAGAAAAATTATCTAACCTCTATTCCATGACAAGCCGGAAAACGCGTGCACTGTAAGTACCTCCCGTTGTCCCATACAAAGCCTGAGAAACCTTTTCTGTCATGTATAATCAAGAAAATATTAGAGAATTTGAAACCAACAACTCTCTTGAGAGCTGTCACAAGGTCCGAATTGGGAAACAAAATGTGCATGCTAACAAGGTCTGGTCAAGAAAGGAAAGACAAAAATGTATATCCGAACCTGTAAATTGTCCGATCTAGAAGTCTGCGGACTCCCTTGTCGAATGTTGTAATTTGGTTTATGACTCGTGCCTCCATCATTGATCGCACAAGTATAATGTTATCACATTTTCCCACAATCTATCGTGCCTAAGAGTCTGAGCCAGTAATATATGGAGGTATTGGTCAGCGTACTCATTGTTTTGCCAGCTGTCATTTGATGCAGTCAGAATAAAGGTCTGCGGCCAATGCTACTCGACTTGCGTCTGGCAAGTAAAAAGATACTGATTGATATCGGTGAGCCCGCAATGTGACAGGAATACTGATCAGAGGATTTTTTGCTGTAACAGCTGTCACTTTAACACCTCAAAGTAGATGTCCACTCTAACAACAATGCACTAGCGCAGTCAAACGATTGCATTGGAGGCTTAANTGGGCGGGAGCCGTCTTTGTTTACACCGCTAATGGCAATGGTGTAAATGCTATTAACATAACCATTGTATGCACAACTGTCACCTATTAAGCCACCGTTTCCAGTTGAAAATGTGTATATGGCGCCCCGTTCATCGCGACCCTGCAAACAGAACTCAGACAATAAATAAAAACTTTTCAAAGATTTACTGCCATCATTATCATCGTTATTATCACATTTTCTTTCATTATTTATGCTATATCCATCATTATTATCATTACTATCATTCCTAATATTATCAACATTATTCGTATATGTGCACGATCCTTCGCAGTAATGAAAATCAGACCTGAAAAAAATTCAGGCCTGTACGGGATTCGAACCACTGACCTCTGCGATACTAGTCCAGCGCTCTATTATTATTTCTAGTGTCACTATCGTCATCGCCACTTTTCTCCTACTACTTGGTATAACTAACGAACAATTATTACACTAACTATTAATCAAGTGTGACCACTGAGATAACCAGTGATAGAGCAGTCTCTTATCTTAATGTCACAAATAAATGTTAACTTTGCGCAAGATTACCTTTTCTATGCCAAGTTTTAGAGCTTCACTGGCCAGTCTCCCAGGACCTTTCACTCTCCAACCAGGGTCTCCAGGCCCCCAGCTATTGGAGTAAATATCAACCTTTCCTAGTTCGTGTACTAAAGCCTGTGCCTCCATTGCATCAGTTGCCCTATGGCCAGCGGAGTCGTCAAAGAGGCGAATACCTAAGTAAACGTAAGACATGAAGAAGATTGACCACTAGTTTTAGATGTGCCCCTGGTTCACACACTGAGAAATATCTTTTAAAAGTCCGTGGCCCATGTTTTTCAAGGCAAAACAATGGATTCAGGCTCAGCAGGCAGAGGTTAGACCATCTACTGCCGTTCACTGCCTCTCTAAAAATCAACATCAATGGAATGTAGCAACAAGCTATACTCTCTATAAAATTCTTTGATTTGGGATTTCTTATTGTGCTGCCTCTTCCCAAAGATCTGAATAGAAAACCCACAGACAATTCGAAGAGGAAACAAATCTTAACTACAAACACATAAAATGGACTATACTACCTGCAATTTTTGCATTGTATGCCAATCCTACACCACATAAACCATTGTCGGCTGCACCAGCTATCACACCAGCACATTTATTTCCATGGCTACAAAAAAGTTTAACATCAACAAATTAAAACAATTTTGGCCATGCGTCCCCGATTACTTTCTTACTGACAGGTGACACGAGAAAAAAGTCACACGTACACTGTCATTGTACATGTACACGTAGGTTGTCAATTTACAGAGACTACATTTGAGTGTTTAACTTTTTGCTGACCAGTCTTTCAGATCCTATCCAAATTTAACAAAATTTCATGCCTGGCACCAACACTGTGGGTAATCAAAATGATCCACTCTAAATAAATCAGATTTAATGATATCTTCATATTCGATTTGGTCATAAGAGTTGGTAAGTAAAAAAGAAAAATACAGTGAAAAACAATTTAAAATGGTGATAGGGCCAAGTGAAGTCCAATTGAGTCTGTGATCATACTAGCATTTAACAAAATCAGACAACCGCCAGGCACGAGTCTGATTCGTTTATTATACATAATTTTACAGAAAATACCTCTGGTAAAGACATTGTCTAAGGTTAAAAATTCCTCCATTTTGAAAGTTACCCAGTTCTTTACGATAAATGACTGTTGCTTTGGCAATCTGATCAATTATGGGGTTGGCATATTTAGCCAAGTGGATTGACTTAGTATTATTGGCTGCTTTAACTGTCCAAGTACAGGGTATCTGCTTACAGCAAACTGAAAAAATGAAGCGGCTAATGCCCCAATCACATTTGGAGAAATTGTAATGGTTACAATGAACTCATAAATACAATGTAACTTTGTTCTTAAGAGGGAAGCCTAAACTGTCTTGTCCTGGATCAAACAATACATGTTATTATTATTAACTGATGCACAGTAATTTAACTAAAAGATACTTGAAGAACCAATGCTTGATCGCGTTACCAAAAAATGTTATTCACACCAATTTTTCAGTAAATAGTGTGT